GATGTATAGCCTTGAGTTCACATGAGGTGTTCTAAAGCATTAGTGCACTTCTGAGAGGAGAGAGGACATAAATATATTGTCACTGTTTCACATAAGAGTACCAATCAGCAGCTTCTACTCAAAGTGCAAAGGACATATACAGAATATATCATTACCTCTGCGTACATTAGACTATTATTATACAACAGATCTCTGCAGCAAGTCTTCCGACACACTGAACACTACATTAAGAGGGTTTCACAAACATTTTGTACCATGGCAGAAAAATTCATCTCATCATCATGCCTGTGGGCATCAGGATGGTATCTGAGAGCCCCAAGTTCATTGCATCAGAGTAATACATATACAATTATCAATTTCTGTTCTAAATAACGTATAAAATAAGGCAATGGATAACCAGCAACCATAAAAATATTCCTAGGCATGAAGATAAACAAAGACTAACTATATAGGCATAGAATTCAAGAACTCTAAATAATTCATTGTGTTCACTATTATGTAAATTCATACTTTCCAACATCTTTATGCTGCAATTTGTCCTACTATTCTGATCATTTTTTATATGCAACAAAAAAATGTTAATAAGCCTGAACATCTCTCCTTCTATCTTACTAAGTGTCACATTAGAGAACTAAAATTTTCTACTTTGTTCAGCTATCTATAGAATGTGGTTAAGGCAAAACAATTTTTAGTATTTTCAGTATAACTGTGCTTATATACATGTAATATTTTTTTCCATAAATACTATACTCACATAATTTACCTTCTGGTATTTTTTTGTTTGATGAAGGAAGATCAATACTATCACCACTGCCCTCATGAAAGTATAACCAAATTTTACCATGAAACAAGTCAGTAAGAATCTGCACTTCAACATAAATAAAGGATGATGTAAATCTGTTTCTAAGTCTTCCTCATATATTAAAATTACTTCCCAAATGAAAACATGCAAGTAATGTGAAACTAACACACTGTCCTAGAAGCCAAGCTAATACTCTGTGCAGGTAAAGTGTCCCACCAGAGAGCCAGAAGTTATTTAACATCATTCTTGGTGACCACATGTGAACTCTCAGGTAACAGCTACCTTAAAATAAGCTGCATGTGTGTACATCATCAATTTCTTCCACCAGATAAGAATGCTTTAGAATATTAACTCTAATTACATGATTACACTATTTTTGACAAAATTTTTATGGCTTTACACATGCAGGGCAGAAGATGAAACAACACTAGAGCGAATGCATTCCCAGCCAAAGAACTTGATGCTGTATTTTCAGAACTGGAAGAACATTTACTGATCAAGTCCAGAAAGGAAAAATGTGAAGAAACAAAACATGCTTTTCAAGATCAAAGCACTGAACAGGAACCCAAAGGAGCTTGGGCCCCTCCTGGCTCTATGATAAGCTTTCCAAGTAACAAGGGTAAATCATTTAAAGCAATTAAATTCCACTTTTTCTTAAAAAAAAAATTAAAATCCACTTTTACATTTTAAAGGAGAGAACTCATGGCACCTTGTGACACAGAACAGACAAATCTTTTGACTAGAACTGAACTGTGACTGTCACATTACCAACTCATTCATATTCTTATCTTTGGCCTACAAAAATTTTGAAGTAGTAAATAACAGCGTTCCAAAGGAATCAATCACATACTGTAATGGTTAACTGACATTTATAGCAATCAGATGATAATACACAAGTACCATGAAGAAATCATCATCACTAATGTCCTCAGAAGAGTCATCTCCTCTGTAACCATGTCTTAGCCTTTCACTTCTTTAAGAATACAGATAAATAAAATTTTTACATGTAATTGTATTCCAACCACTTACGAAGGCCAGAAAATGTCATTTACCTACTCTTGCTCTTACAACAGAACAGAATATGCAGTACATTTCTAATTTAAGAATTGAATTCAGCTGTATCACACCAACCCCAGTGAAAACAGATTTTGAAGTATAATTAATTAATAACTAATAATAACTAATATGCCAGATAGACCCTCAGCAAAGGGAAATATGCTGTCTCCCTGGAGCATGGGTTAGGGACATCACTAGGAAACTTTCTAGTCTGCTAAGGTCCTCAGATTGTTACCCATTAGTGCTCTTCCACGTAAGCAGAGATGAAACTACAATCTGTAGTTCAAGAGCCATTAAAAGAGACTTCAGGGCCCTGGGACGGTCAGTCTGCAGCACAAATTATATTTTCGTCTCTCCTTCCAGTTGTGGGCAGTGATACTGAGAGATTCAGATGAATCCAGTCTATTAATACGTGGCTCTGTGACTGGTGTCACCACCACAACTTCAGATTCTTTGACAGTGGGTTTGCATACACAGCACCAGGCTTGCTAGCCTCAAACGGAAGTCACCCTTCCCAAAGAGGGAAGAGGGTCTTTGCCCGAGAGATTTCACAGCTGATCGACAGGGCTTTAAACTAGTTACGAAGAGGAAAGGGAATAACAATAACAGGCTTGTCTTTGACAAGCTGTGGGATGACACACCAGGGTTAGAGCGACAGGATGTTACTAAAGGCCTGCAACCAGTTACTTGGAGACAAGCTGGGGATGTGGCAGCACAGCTGAAGTCTTACACAGCTGAACCAGGAGCTCCTGAGGTAGTAGAAGCCAATGGGGACACATGAACAGAACACCTCAAGGGAATTAAGGGGTGTTCCACCAAGAAGGTGACATGGCCAAAAGCCCAGCTGAGATGCCTCTACACAAACGCAAGCAGCACAGGCAACCAACAGGAGGAGTTAGAAATCTGTGTGCGGTCAATGGGTTATGATCTGGTGGCAATTACAGAGACATGGTGGGACAGCTCACATGACTGCAATGTGGTCATGAATGGCTCTGTCCTTTTTAGGAAAGACAGACAAACAACGCAAGGTGGTGGAGTTGCTCTTTACCTGAGAGAGCAACTGGAATGTACTGAGTTCTGTCCAGGGGTGGATGAGGAGCAAGTTGAGAGTTTGTGGGTAAGAATTAAGGGACAGACTAGCATGGGTGATACTGTGGTATGTGTCTATTACAGGCCACCTGATCAGGGTGAGGAAGTTCATGAGGCCTTCTACAGGCAGCTGTCAGTAGTGTCTCGATCACAGGCCCTGGTTCTCATAGGGGATTTCAACTACGCAGATATTTACTGGAAGGTCTATGCAGCCAGATATTCACTGTCCAGGGGGTTCCTTCAGTGCATCAATGATAATTTCTTGATACAAATGGCGGATAAGCTGACCAGGAGGAGAGCACTGCTGGACCGTGTCCTCACCAACAAGGAGGGTCTGGTTAATATTCCAGGACCCTTTTTTCCATGCTCAAGATCAGTGCATCCCAACAGGTAGGAAATTAAGAAAGAGATCCATGAGACCTGCATGGTTAACCAGGGAACTGCTGGGCAAACACAAGTGGAAGAAGAGACTCTAGATCATGGAAGGAGTGGCTGGCCACTTGGGTCAAATACAAGACTGTGGTCAGAGGATGTAGGGAGGCAACTAGGAAAGCTAAGGCCTCCTTGGAATTAAACCTTGTGAAGGAGGTCAAAAAGAAAGGGCTTCTCCAAATACATTGCACATAAAACTAACACTAGAGGCAATGCAAGCCAACTGCAGAATGAGGTGGGTGTCGTAGTAACAGAGGATACAGAGAAGGCAGAGTTACTGATTGCCTTCTTTGCGTCTACCTATACTGTTGGAGACTGTTCAGGAGTCTCAGAGCCCTGAGGCCCCAGAGGAAGTCAGGATAAAGGAGGAATTTGCCTTGGTTGAGGAGGACAGGGTTCAGTTAGGACACTTGAACATACATAAATCCATGAGCCCGATGAGATGTATTCGCGGGTGCTGAGGGAGTTGGCAGGTGTCATTGCTACGCCACTCTCCATCATCTCTGGTAAATCGTGGACAACGGGTGATGTGCCTGAGGACTGGAGGAAAGCGAATGTCACCCCAGGCTTCAAGAAGGGCGAGAAGAAGGACTTGCGTAAGTACAGACCGCTGAGCCTCACCTCCATCCCTGGAAAGGTGATGGAACAACTTATCCTTGGCGTTGTCCCCAGGCATATCAAGGATAAGAAGGTCATTAGGAGCAGTCAGCACGGCTTTGCCAAGGGTAAGTCATGTTTGACCAGCCTGATAGCCTTTTATGAAGACATAACCAGGTGGAGAGATGATGGCAGCGCAGTGGACATGGTTTATCTGGATTTCAGTAAAACATTTAACACCATCTCCCACAGCATCCTCATAGCTAAACTGAAGAAGTGTTGTCTGGATGATCACATAGTGAGGTGGATTGTCAACTGGTTGAAGGCACAAAGTCAGAGAGTTGTGGTCAATGGTACAGAGTCTAATTGGAGGTCTGTATCTAGAGGAGGACCTCAGGTGTCGGTACTGGGATCAGTACTACTCAACATATCAATGACCTGGATGAAGGAACAGCGTGTCCCATCAGCAAGTCTGCTGATGACACAAAAGTGGGAGAAGTGGCTGACACACCAGAAGGCTGTACTTATGAGGAAAGGCTAAAGGAACTTCAGCTTGAAGATGAAGAGACTGAGGAGTGACCTCATTAATGTTTATAAACATGTAAAGGGTGAGTGTCAGGAGGATGGAGCCAGGCTCTTCTCAGTGATGTCCAATGACAGGACAAGGGGCAATGAATACAAGTTGGAGCATAGGAGGTTACACAAAAATATTAGAAAAAACTTTTTCACTGTGAGCGTGACAGAGCACTGGAAGAGGCTGCCCAGGGAGGTTGTGGAGTCTCCTTCTCTGGAGACATTCAAAACCCACCTGGACGCTTTCCTGTGTGACCTATTCTGGGTGATCCTGCTTTGGCAGGGAGGTCGGTCTTGCAACATATTCTAGGTACTTGAAAAAATTTATCAACAGACTTTGTGTAATACGTTTTCAAAATCCTACGGAGTTCTCAATTAAAAAGATAAAGAATATGGTCTCAGTGGGGAGGGGGATGTTTTTCTTTCCAGTATGATAAATCTCTAAACTCACCTTTCCACAATCAAGGTGACAGCCCGAGTAAGATCTGGACTTGACGCTTGGAGATGTTTCCATAGGGACCACACAAATTCTTTATCAGCCTTACAAACAGAAAGAAAAAAGACAAAAATACATTAAATGCACGCTATGCCTTTTATAGACAAAAAAATTATACTGTGCATATTCAAAAGACAATTCAAAAAAACCACCTATATTCAAGGGAGAATTCCCTACAAGTTACTTATTGTCCTGTGAATAAAGAAAACAGTAAATCATTCTCTTGAATACTGTTTTAACTTTACAGAATTTTGAAGGAAGACAAAGACCTACAATCAACAATGAAAGAGTATGCAATGTGACATAAGGCAGCAGCCTTATTCATAATTCAAACAAGGCTGCCTTTTCCTATATAAATTACTGGTACTTCTAGCAGCAGGACAGAATTTCTATTAATAACCATTGAGTCTGGAATACATGCTTCAATATCACATTTTACCATGTGCAGCTCTTAGATTTTATTTCAAAATAGACAGTAAATCAGTCTTCTAATACACACTCAGCTAACCTGCATTATACAAAAAGCTTCTGGAAAATTTCTCAAGTGAGAGCAAGAAAACAATGTTCTTTAAAAACAGACAAAGTTTGTGAAAACTAGATGCCAACTAAAAGCTTTTACAGATTTATGTTTTCTACTACATGCAAGTTTTTAGTTTGTACTGCTGTATTTCAGTTTCAATGCAGTTTTCTTACTGGAAGCACCAATATTGATGTAGTTATGTTACAAATTACAACCACAATGTGTTAATTATATAAAAATTTTAAGGAAAAAATCTGCAGAATATGAAGATTTGGCAAACAATAAGAAAACATACGTACATAAATCACAGACTGGACTAAAATCAAACCTGCTAAAAACAGCCTAACATAAAATTAAAAATTATTATGCCAAAATTGAATGAGTGTGTTCACTAAAGACGTGGAGAATCAGAATTGTTTTTGCATTATTATTTCAGGCACATTATTTTTGTCAATACTCTTGACTTAGATGACAGTTGGATCACATTTTATGACAAATTAATGCAGAACACCACGAAATTCCAAAAGGTTCATATACTTTTTCTTGCAACTGTATCTATTTCCCTGCCTCCTCCTTCTCCCAAACTTCTGGAACCTACTCTACTAATATTGCAGGCACAGTGCTGACAACAATGACAACACCGAGGTCGCGGGTTCGATTCCCACTCGGTCCCCATGTGTTGCCTGGTCTAGTCGAGAGGTGGCGTCCCTGCCCAGGGCGGTTGTACTAGATGATCTCTAAGGTCCCTTCCAGCCTAGGCCCTTCTATGGTTCTATGATTCTCACTAAAATCAGCTAAACAAACAATACAGTATCTCACCTCTGCACAATTCTGCCTTAATTCTGATTATCAAATGAGGATCTGAGTTCCTAATTTCACCTCCACTGTTTGGTTTCTTCATCAGTTTCTCACTTAAATTTCTTCCTTGCCTGATTTCTCATTTTTTTATGAATAAGAACAGATTGCACCTTTAGTCATAGGTAAGCCCATGATTTGAAATACCTACAAGTAACACTCTCCTAAGACACAACAGCTCAACAGAACTACAAGTCTGACAGGCCTCACAAGAGTCAATAAAGACCATACACCGTATTCGAGTAAATCTCAGGAGTAGAAATCGCTTTTCTTATTTTTTTTATGTCTTGTTTTCATTTGGTCCTGACCAGTTTTCCCTTCTGGAAAGCACGTTTGAACTTAACAATGATACCAGTTCCAGTGCACAGCAATCTTCATGGTTTTCTTTCTTTCAGAAGAAAAAAAAAATGAAATCTAAAGCTCTCTCTAAAGCTAGCAGACTTCTATCAAGATACATCAGGGAACTGAGTCTCAATTATTTTATCAGGATTAACACAACAGCCAAATAAACTGAATTACGGATTTAACGAACTTGAGCAATGATTATGGAAGAAATAGAAGATGGGTGTACCTATTTTCTCCATGACTTATGAGGAAAACCTCAAAGATTTATTTTTAAACTTCTGATATGTCTTTCTTTCAAATTTAGAAATTCATATATCCTAAATTTTAAAATTGCAGAAAAGTAAGGCAACACTGAACTTATGGGAAAAGATGAGCAAGTGAGAAGTAAAGAGTGTTAGGACTGCTGACTTAAAAACCACTTCCTCTTTCAATTACTGTCATTCCTAGTTTACATTTATTTAAATCTTTAAATGCATTAACTTCTTCAACAAAGCAATGAAGAAACTTTATGGAGTTTGCCTTACCAAGATATTGCTGTAAAACCAGAAAAATTCACATGCCTACTGTAAGAACACTCATCACTAACAAAGACTACTAGCTTTCTGATTGTGTTAGAAAGTAAATAAAACAGGCTCCTGCCAAAAAGATCTTATCATTCAAGATTATTTATGCAAACTGGACTATAGCAGAGTTTGTCTTTCATAAAACCAGAGAAATTTCACCTGTCTTTTTTGTTCATTTTTGCTATTTCAGAACAAGACTAAACAATTAACAAAAATCTTTGAGTAGAAAGAAAAGGAGGACATACCCTTGAAAAGGATAACACTTTTCACCAACCTAATGGTCTTTGCAGTGTAAGGGCTCTTTTCAAAACCTAAACTGATCCTGCTGCATGTAAGCAGGCAGATAATAACTATATGATGCACTACAGTGCATGACTGTATTTACTTTCTGAAGAATGGTAACACCAAAACTAAGCCATAGACCATAAAACTAAGAACTCATACGACTTCACATCAGTATCCAAGTCTTTATTCAGTAAAAGTGCTAAAATTAAGCAAGGAATTAAATTAAAAGATAAACTAAGCATCATATTAATTAGGTTACACAGTTCAGGCATAAAATACACCCTCTCATTGCATGTTATCACCTTATGCCACTACATAACCTGGAATTCTATGAATCTGAATCCAAAAATGCCTTCCCTTGCCACCTGAGAAGTCACAACATGTGTACACTGTGAACCAGGCATGACCTACTACTTCTTCTCATGCGGAAACAAAATAAAAAATAAAAATGTTTGTTGCATTTGGAAAAACTGCTGCAGGCTTCCAAAAAAGCATTAAGATCCAGGCAGAACTCATATTCTGAGTATTTCTAACATCTAAAAATATCTTGTATTTATGCTGGGAGCCCAGCAAAGAAAAAAACAGAAACCCCAACAAAAAAAAACTCACTAAATAATAGCAATGGAAATGTTACTTCTCTACAATTATTTAGAAGGACAGTAAGACAGTAGTTCTTACATGCTAAAAGACATCACTTAGAGTACAAGAAAACCTCTGAACCATGACAAAGGAACAACCCCCTATAACCAATAAACTACACTTAATTCCAATTTTAAAATATTTTTAATTCAGCACTCTCAGTTAATCAGTAGTATAGAAAGCAGAACTGAATCAATAGTAGTGCTTGCGTATTTTATATCTTTAATACACAATTCACTGTATTTTTACACTAAACTACTTAAAATCGCTAACAAATTACTCTAAGGGCCATGAAGTCGTCACAACACAGAGAAGCCCAAATATAATGAATTGCCAACAGTATTCCACCTGCAAAGGCTCAGACAATCAAAGTTTCTGATGCTGATTTACGAGGTCATGAGCTTTGTTTGGTTTCGTTGCCTGTTTAAAGATTTGGATTTGCTTACTATCATACTCCCTTAGCTCTTCCCTTTTCTGTCCCATATACATGAACGCAGAAGTAGCTGTTGGGTTTTCTGCGTATTTATTTTTTTACTTATTAGAAGAGTCAAGACATTTGGGCTTCTGTATGACTCCAAGACACACTATCAACACTCATTACAAATAGCACTCATTACAAATACTCATTACAAACACTCAATATGCTCAATACAAACACTTATTACAAATAGCAGGGGCTGCCTGTTGTCCTGCTCTGCAACTTGCCACACACTCCAGGTTCCAGCTGGGGAACTACACAAAGCATCAGAAAAAGAGAGACTAGCACACAACTTCCAGACATGTACTTCCAAGCACAGCATTTCTCCACTACAATAAAGGGAAAATCACATGGAATTGTTCCTAATAAACAAATAGGTACAAAAAAAGATACATATATATCTATAGATATCTATCTACACATAATAAAATGAGATGGAAACATTCACATCCTTCCCATGATTTTTGCTGAGTATCCAGCTTATATTGAGTCTCTGGCAATCTAGTTTCTACCTAAACTTTGCCAGTCTTCCCAGAAATCAATCTTCTGATAATATATAAAATATGACGCTTCAATGAATATTGTCTTCCTAACGCGAACACAGTCATATACAAATGATCTCTTTTAACTGAATAAGCAGTGAAGATTAAACTCAAAGCACTTATAACTATTTCACAGACTACTTTCAAATTTATCCAATGAAGAGTAAAATCAACTCCCAGTTGTAACACATCAGTGAAATTCCCACTTCTTACAAGTTTGGCAACATTTCTGCCTCTGTTGAAAGAAGGGTAAATGAAGTACGAATTAAAAAGGCATCCTAACTTAAAAATAAAAAAGTTTGCTTGCAGTAAGAAATACTGAAAGTGAAAACTGTTCACTAGATAAACTTCAAAGAAACAGCTAAACAGACAGATTAAGTAGTGTCCATTTAAAAAAACCAACTAAAAAAATATAAACCTTCCCAAGCCCCGTGGAAAATAACTGAAAGAACGGTTGACTTTGCAGAACTGCAAAACACCACCAATTCAGTAAGTGCTGTTTATTTTTTAATTTGGCAGGAAGTAAAATTTAAAGTTACTACTGCAACCTGTAAATGAGCACACATAGAACTATAAAGTAATGCCATAATTGTATCAACATATTTTCTAATCTAACTCAACAAATATTTTCACTACATATTAGTATTTCTGCAAATGCACACAAAAAAAAAAAGCAGCATCCTCCCTAAGTGGACTTCTGCTAAAAGAATAAGGACACAAATACATCCTCAAATACATGTTACCAATAAAAAAAACACCCATCATTTGCAGTTAAAAATCTGTGACCTTTATTACATAAAAAGGAAGTTTACATCTA